ATTTTAATACGGATGTTAGTTTCACGGACAGCCCCGACCACTTTTTCTGTAGAGAAAGAAGTGAGAAGCTCTATAATCAGCAGAATTAATGAAATTTGGCATCCTAAGGCTTTCCGTTCCCTTCCAAAGAATGGAAAGCCCTAGGTCCCAGTGGCAGGTATTGGGAAAACTTGAAATTGCTCTGCTTCTCATCGACTGGACAGGGATCAAGGGAAATGAGGAAATTCCTGTAATGCTGCTAGGTTGGCAAGTGAACCTTAATACCGATCTGAAGTCAGCTGCGTAGTATAAACCTGAAGCAGGGTGAAGTTTTGATGGTTTAGCTGCTCATACTTTATGTTAATACTGCAATGCAGTGCCATCTAAAAGTAGTCACGACTAATGCCTTATCAAGATGGATACCTTACTCGGGCGGACAAGGGCTGAGCCTTGAAGCAGCTGCATCTGGTCTGATTGAAATCATGCTTAACAATATATAAGGGTCGAACCCTTAAATTAACTGTTCTGTTCCTTCCCTATTTTCAAGTTAGTTTGTGCTTTGTTTTTTTTTTTTTTCCCTTTTTTGACAGTTTGGATCGATTTTATTAATTTTGCAGCTATGCTGTCATGCTCTGCCTTTGAGAAGTGTTCCTCTTGTTCCATTACTTTCCCCTTAGCTATTTAAGGGTGTTTTCTGAGGAAGATCAACACCAGACTAGGTGCTTGGCCTGGATTTAGGAACCTTGGGCATGCCCTTGTGCAGTGTCTGCAGCCACTAGATGGCCCATCGCAAGGGAGTCAGTACATCCCGAATGGCAGCCTGACGTCTGTTAGTATGATGAAAGGATAAATAATATTAAATGTTTCTTTAATAGGAGAAAATGCACAGCATTGACAGTAGTGATTAAGTTCTATTAAACAGTTGTTATTTTGGACACCAGGTGATTAGTACATTCAAACCACTTCATTTCCAGACTTTGGCACCTTGGTCATTACTAACTCAAATCATAAAGTTCAGTGAATCAAGTTGTAAATAGTTTTATTGGTTCCGTGTTGGAAAAAAATTGAGGGTTGTGAAATTCCTTGATGATTTAAAGTTACGTATTTCCTAAGTCCTTGTATTTCTATTTTCTGCTCCTTATTTAGTTATTCAGCATTGCAGAAATTTTACACTCTGTTTCTGCCTTTGCAAACACTAAAACCAACATGCTAATTGAGAGCAAAGAGTTTTATTCCTAGAACAATTATGCCAAATGGAGAGAGCTGGAGTTTTGTGCTAAGATGCGCCCTACTGCCAAGGTGCCATAGTTATCTGGGGGAGGAATTACCTCCAAGGACAAGAGTGGAACTGCTCTTGCAGCTTCTGGAGAAAGGTCTGTATTTACATACATGCTGATGACTGTTGGATAAAACACAGGACCTTCATGTTTCTGTTGGTTTGTATTTTGTTTTCTGAAAATATTTTTCATCTTTCTGAAAATAATTTTATGTCCACTATATGATAAGGCTTCCTCCAAAGCAGGTTTTGTGTTTGGGTGGTTTTTTTTTTTTTTTTTTGTTTTTTTTTTTTTTTTTTAAATGAAAGCTTAGGAATTAAATTTTAACATCTAGATACATTTCAAGGTTTCAGTGCTATACAACAAGGCTTCCTTAAAGTTCAATTTAATATCTTTTAAATGACTGGGAGCAAGTTTTTGGTTTCTCCAAACCAACTTGAGGTTTAGAAAGACATGTTGGCTTTGTCCTGTTTTGGCTTTAAAGTTGTCATGTGTTCTGTTAAGTGTGCTTATGATTTCAGTGCTCGATGAGGTGACCCTTGCATCACGTACGTGTCACTTTACAAATTTCAATCAAGACGTTTATGATGAAGTACCTTTCATTCTTTCTCAATGAAAAAGCTGTTTTCATTGTTGTATTAGTCTGCTCAAAATGCATCTGGTTTTCTGGTGTGGTCATGCGTTGTAGAAATGTATATGTTTACCAGGATAAGTCTTTCGTACTGTCTTAGGTGTACATGTATGTGCCTGTAGAACTTGTGTGTGTGTGTGTGCGCGTGTGTGTCTGGGCAAGGCAAGGCAAGACAGCACCATAACTTCAGGGAAAATGGAGGAGGTGACTGCGAGTCACCCACTTACTCACTGGCATATACTGTGGGAAACCTGTATTTTGTGGTTTTGTAGAGCACTTGCTTTTTAGAGAAGGCAGGCAAGAAGGCAGACGTCCCCTTCTCATTAACAAATTTATCACTTACAACTCTTATGTAAAACAAACTTAGTGTCAACTCTGAAATGAAGAGCTGCATTGGAAATCACACCTAGCTACAACAGGTGCTGAGCTGGCAGTTTCACAGAAGATTGTGAAATTTGATCACACAATGCGAAATAGAGCCACTCCTTGAGGGCAATATCTGAAACATAATGGGGAACCACCCTTCAGAGGTGATCTGTGTAATAATGGGCCTTAGAAACACTTTCTGCCTGCTTTGCTTAGAAAATTATGAACATTTTAAAAAGTGTTACTGGTTTTTGCACAAGCACACTATATTTAGCTGTACCTCGGCTAGTCCTGCGCTCAGACACGCCCAAGGCAATAAACTGCCCAGCGCGTACTTGCTACTACATCACTCCGAGGTGGAAACTATTAATGAGATTTTCTGTTCTCTGTATGTCCCGGTGTTGTTGTTAGCTTGTCTTCTCTGTCCATAGATTACAGCTTTTCATCCATATTCTTCTGGGAGCTGGGCGTTTGTATAACCCTTGAGTAACTTTCGCTGCAGCCATTTTCTGGTAAGTCTCTAACCTTTGTAAGCTCATACATGCTAATGAACATGGAACACCCAGCATTATTGCACTGGCCCTATGACACTCCGTGCTACTTGATGTCTCTTTTCTTTCTTCTTGAGATTGCCATAAAGATTGCACCTGTGCTCCTGCATGTACTTATGCACACCACAGCCTCTGAATAATGTAGACTAATAGAAAAGACTTCAAAGAATCATAACACAGTTTTAAAGGGCTGGAAGGAGAGGCTGATGGGAAATGTTATAAGAATTCAACATTTCCTGCTTAGCTAAGCAGTAATTTAGAAGGACATGTAAACTACGTGCAAGTATTTCAAAGAAAACAAAAAGCAAACAAAAGCTGTGCACACTGCCCTGATGCTGTAGACAAAGAGCAGAGAAGGGAGAGGCTTGCAGCAAATCATCTGCTTGAGTTTGTCATTTTTAGGTACTCAGACATAGGGTGAGCACGGTAATGAAAATATGTAGACAGATTTGGATGTTATTTGATAGAGGTAAATGCAAAGGGAAAGAAAATGAGTGGTTTAGCAGTGACCTGAGCAAGTCATTATGTGATTGAAATCAATTACCCAGGAACTCATTAGCAAAAGAAAATAAGTGTCCTTCCTTCTTGTGCTGCGGATACTTTGTTGGATCCCTATCACACATCAAATCAAAACACTATCTTTCAAAGCCACTGAAGGGTTAATACCAGACTGTGCTTTCTGAGACTGGTTTTCCAGAGCAACTGGGCTTGTCAGGCCAATGAAGCTATCAGTGCAAAGGGAACCAGTGATCAGCAGATACCAGCGTTGTCTTGACAGTTGGAACTGGAAAGCAACTACTGCAGGTCAGTGAATCCTAACATTTTATAAATGAAATGGATGCTGCACTTTCTCCTTGTCTCCTAATAATTAGGATAGAGAAGAAAAGAAGAAAGATTTTGAAGAGCATGAATACTATTTTAGAGTGAAATTCACTCACGTTCACTCTCATTGAACCAATATGGTTCAAGTGGGATTTAAGAAACGCAACAGACTTGTGCAGAACTTAGGCAGGCAACAACAGAACAAAGCATTTAGCGCAAAGTTCGGGGGCATGGATTGTACTGATCTGTCTGTACCCAACCTCATTTATGGTACTAAGTGCTTGATTTGGCAAAGTGTCTTTGAATGTTCCAGTATCTTTGTGAGTTTGGTCATTAGGAGTCTATGTGCTACTGAAAGTCAGATTAGGGATTAAATATTTAACAGCATTAGGGGCTTTTGAAAAGGAATATCTTGGTTTTGAGATGCCAAGAAAATTGGACTCAATAATAAAGTAATTATTACTTTAATGATAAGAGAAAATCAATTATGTTAACTTCTCTGATTATTTCAAGATATTTTAAGTTAGCACACAGACAAGCAGTTGATACATGGAAGACTGAAATAGAAGCAGTGATATACAATAAGAAAAGTATCCACAACACGGGGGTACTTAAAAAAAATGTTTAATTCAATCATACATATTTTAGGACACAGGAACTCACCCCTTCTCAAGAGAATATTGCTGTTCTTATCATGACCTTGCAGGCTGTAATCTTACATAAGTAACAATGGGACAGATGTTCTAGGAAAAATGGTCTCAAACTCATAGCAGGTGGGCTGCAAATAAATACATTTCAAAGTAATAGAAGAGGCTGACAGTATGTGATTTGTCTGTAGTCATAGAACACATGCCTTGCTGTGAATGCCCATAGAGTATATAACAATCATGTACATTTTGAACATGTACACAGAGGCCTGTATACTCATATACAGGTGAATAGTCATATTGGTTGTGAAAATATACAGATATATGCATGAAATCAGGAACGTAGAGTCTCCTTCCATTTATATACACACCTCTCTCTTCTTTCTCACTGCCGATTTCAGGCTTTACAGGTGGAGCTTGAAAAGCTAGCACTCGGGGGGAAAATCTACCCCTGCAGAGACGGAAAGCTAAAGATACCTGGAACGGTTGAAAAGCCAAAGGTTACCTTGTCTTACTGCTGGGGTAACAAAATTGCCTGCTAAACAGCACTGTTAGGCAATTTTATTGCTGTTATCAACTGAATGATTTTGCTTGTAGGTGGCTTGTCCTTTTCCACAGAACAGGTCTGTCTCTTAACCACTGCCTCAGCAAAACTTGTGTAGATGACAGTCTTGCTCTCATTGCAGTTCTAACAGAAAGAGTTGTTGGCTCCCTTCGCCTCTCCAGATTACGGGCAGGTACCTGTCCTGTTTGCCCAAGATGGAAAAGTTTGCAGTTGGAACAAAGATGAAGCCCAGGTGTTGATGGCTAGAGTTATCGTCAGAACTCCTAGGAGGTTGAGTACAAACCCAGCTTTGGCCTAGAATCGTAAGACAGAAGCGTAGTTAGTTGAACTGAGTACTTTTTTCCCTCCTTGCTGTTTAGGATTGTTTGCATGGTTAGGTTTCCTCTTTGGCCTTTTTTCACAGCTCCAGCAGAACTCCGTCAAATTACATTTAAGCTGGTTTTCTTCACAAATATAATCTGTATTAGGGGAAAATGAGTTTCCATTGGATAGAACTCTTAAACTAGAAGTCCTGAAATCCTTTTAACCCGCTTGTGTAGGACTTTCTCTTCTGACCTGGCATCGTTCTCTAACTTTACTTTGGATTTCTTCTTGGATCAATTATAAATTAGAAAAGTTATCAAGAGACATGGCATCCTTGTCTGCCTTTCCTTAACGTAGTGAGAAAGGGCATCAGGGCAGCCTAGTGAGAAGTGCTAGGCTTTCCCCTAGCCCCTGCAGAAGGACTGTCCCGACTCTGACATCCCTATGATCTACATTTGGGCTTTTTCAAGCAGTTAGACACTGCCATTCCTTATTGACAGCAAGCTCCTGTTGGAACATCTTCAAAAGGCCTCAGCTGTTCTTTAAAATCTCAATAGCATCTCTATAAGGCTCTGAGTATATATTAGAGTTAGTGACACCCTTTATTAATTCACACGTGTATGTTCTTCCTTCCATTTGACGTTAGCTGAGCACGGTGAGTTTCCTAACACACTTCCAAGAAGAACCAGTATTAGAAAAAGGAAAGCTCAAAACTGGTGATGAAAATTCTGAAAAGAATGCACTTTTGCTCACCATATCTATAACCTTGAGTTGTCCATATGCGAAGACAATGGCGTTAGGAGGAGTGGCCACTGGGAGCATGAATGCCAATGATGCAGAAAGTGTACAGGGCAGCATGACATAGAGTGGATTGAGGCAGATTGCTTCAGCCTGTGCAAGAAGGGAGAGCAAAGATGATGGTTTCGATGTACAAAAATGCGTAGAAATCTTTTGGCAGAAGACTGAGTGTATGTGTCCATGTCAGAAACCTCATTCTCTCACAGACACTGCAGCCACTCATATTTTGGGTTTGCTTTAGAAACTTCCACCCCATGTCTTTATGCAGCAAATGCAAGAATTGATTTTGTGGCCAGTGCTTTGTGTTCCTGATTGTGGGATCTGATCACTGCTGCAGTATAAATTAATAATAGTGGTTGTGTTCAACTCTAAAACCAGGAAAAAAATGTAAAGTGCCTTCAAACTGATTAAGAAGAAAACTAAATTATCAGAGGAAACAGTATAGCCCAAGCTCTGAAGGTGAGTGGATCAGTTTAGGAGTTTGCTGGAGTCTGTGGCCTATGCAAAAAGATTTTGTTGGAGCTTATTCCAGTTTCTATCTGGAACAAACTTTTCACGCTGCAGAGCTGTGTCTACCCCTGCAATGGGAATCTCCTGTGGAAATGCAAAAGTGTGAATTAGGTCATAGAGCTTGTCTAATGCTATCACCTTCAGAGACTTCTGGAAGGCTAGTGGTCGGAGTGAAATACAGTAATGGAATGTTGCAGGGAAGCAAATGCTGCTGCTGTTGCTGTCTCTCTGCAGAGCAAATAGGAAAAAACAAGTACAGCTGGCAGTGACCTCATGGGGTTGTTTAGGCCAGAAGGCAAAGTCTAATATGCCGGTGAATTTAATCCCTTTACTTTTCATCAGCCATGATTTTAGAAAGGTTGAACTAAGCACAATCTGTGTGAATATATATGCATGCACATACATATATGTATATTTTAAATCTCGTATTCCTGACTGGATACACGAACCAGTGCTTGGCTATGGCAGCCAGTTAGTTTTTATAATTGAGCAGCTGTATGCTTGGAGAAGAGTTGAAATCTGAACCAGAGTATTTCGAAATGCTGGAACTCACCATTGAAGCCAGAATTGGGAGAAAGAGGGTAGTGGTGGCCACATTGCTGGTGCACTCAGTGAAAGTGGCAATAAGGACACACAACAGGAAAGCAATAGCTGGATGAGGGATTTGCTGCGGAGGGGTCAGTTTGCTACCTAACCATGCAGACAGACCAGATTCCTGTAACAGAGGAAAGAGGTCTGTCAGGACAGTAGGCTGGAGAAGAAATAGGCACATCGCAGTCCAATTACATTTCTCATACCAATTCTACCTTCCTTTCATATAGGAGTTCTCATACAAACTGCCTTCTGTAGAAAAACATGTGAGAGGCAATGCTCATAGACACGATAATTCCGTAGGTTAAATAAAAATAAACGCGCTTTCCCTTCCAAAGATTTGAAAGAAGATACTACATTTACAGTACGTTATTGATAGCAAATAATTATTTGTCTGTTCAGGCCATTAGTTGTACATGATCAATATTTGGAGCTTTTTTTGAATCTAAACAAAGATCTTTGAACTCACTTTCATGTATCTTAACAGATTTTCTAGGAATTTAATGTCATTTCATCACATTATCTGAGATCTTGATCAGCTATCTGAAGCTTTTCATGCCTTTCATCCTTCTCAGTCTCTGAAAAATACCAGCATCTTCCCTATCATTCTGGGCTGTAGTTTGGGCATCATTATTATTCAGCCATTCTTCTCAAGAGAACCGTAACTGTCTTGCTGCTTCATGCATTACGGCCTAGCTTTCTTACTGGTTTTGCAACCATTGTTATTCTTCATATGCTCCCTATTTCCTATCTTGGTTACTTTGACCTGTGTCTTCTGATGTTGAAAAATGCTCTCTCACAGGAGGGTTGGAATCCCTCTTGAATGGACTAGCCTAATTCCCTGTCCCAAGGCAGGATCAGCTCTACCTAAATTATTACTGGTACATGCTTTTCAAACTTGTTAAAAATCTCTAGCAATGATGCTTCCAAAATCTCCCCAGATAATTTTTTCAAGTGCTTAACTGTATTTACAGTTGGAATATTTTCATACTGCTTAACCTAAATCTCCTTTGCTGCAATTTAATCCCTTTAGCACCATCAGAATATAAAAAAGTATACTATCTTCCTTTCTGCAGCAGCTTTTATGTGTTTGATGACTTATTCTAGAATAAATTAATGTAATTTCTTGAATCTTTCCTTTTCCAAACATGTTTCCCAGAGATCTGATTGTTCTTACTACCTTCCTCTTCATATAGCCCACGTGTTGTCGAACACCGATATCCCAAACTGAATACACTACTATACCCAAGGACTTAGCAGTCCTGAGTGGAAGGATTATATTTTACATGTCTTATGTATGATGGTACTACCTATAGTTTCCAGTTGTTTGCTTTTTTTTCTCAGTAGCAATACAAAAATATTGACTAGAATAAGGTGTATGAGTCCAGTCATTTCCACATCTTGCATTTGTGACACTTGGTTATTTCTTCCTATTTCCCATATTGAGTTGCATCCTTGTTTTCTGGAAACACTTTTACAGGTCACTGTGATCTTTGAATTCTAAATTAGTATTTCCAGTCACTTGAAGCCTTTTCCAATTTGTTTGTTGTCTATAGATTTAATGGATGTATTGTCTGTTCCATCATCTAAGTCATTACTGAAAAATAATTTCTAGCACTGGACTCCTGGAAGATGCCTGCAGAAGTACATCGGTACATCCCTCAGTCAGCCCGATGTTTTGATCTGCTCCTGAAGGTCCTCTAGCTAGCTCTACGTTTGTCTTCTAGTTTAAATCGTATTTCCATGTGTAGTTTGTTTGAAATAGTTCAGAGACCCATCCTAGGCACATTGTCTCCTCATGCTTACCACACCAATTAAGTTATATTTAATATGACCTTTAATGTGTTTGGGCAGTTGCTTCACCATCCACTTTTCTAGAAACACAGTTAATCATGCTGCCTTCATTGGTAGTACCATCCCAGTTGCACAGGCAAAAATAAAGATCTGTACTAATCACAGGACTCCTCCTAAGGATGGCGAAGTCTGTCCTGCTGCCACTAGCTGAGGAAACGCGTGTTTGGTGCTACCAGCATGCCCTCTTGTGTTCTGGGAGAGTACACATGAAGAGCAAGATGGAAAACACCCAGGAGGACACAAATACAGGTAAGCAGAGGAGTGTTACCTCACTGCCTTTGGCTAAGGCAAAGCCACCTCCCAGCAGAAACACAATGTTCCATGGCATTTTCTGTTGAACTACTTTCCACTCCAAGAGAGCTGGAGGTGCTCGGATCTTTGACTTGCTGCCTAAAATCCAAACAGATTTTGTAAGCCATGTTGCATTCTCCAAAGAAAGGAGGGCTCCTTGGCGGGAGGTGAGTTTGGTCTGAACATCAGGAAACACTTCTGTCAGCAAGATCAAGCAGACTGTGGAATTATCTCCTAAAGCAAATGATGAGAGCCTCGCCAACAAGGATTCTAAAACATGACTTGCAAAAATACTAATGAATGATGTGTAGCTGCTCCAAGAGGCATTGTAGAATGCAGGTAAGAGCGAGTTAAAGTACAGCAACATATCTGCAGAGCTGCGTGTGTTTCTGTTAAGTCATGGATTCTCTCCTGAAGGCTCCAGCTTCAGAACCTTTTATGTCTGTGCATACTAGTGTCTGGAACACTGCTGGGATAAGGGTTTCCTACTTAGCTAAACTACAAGAAACAGAGAACTTTTATGGGACATATGCCTTGCCTAGCCTAAAGCGTACAGCTGTAGCTATGCAGGAAGAGCAGTTTGAAATCTTGTTAATGTTTGAAATTTCCTTTGTAGATCTGAAACTTCCCCTGTACCTATTTTGACAACTGATTTTTTGATGCCTTCAGTAAACTTACCTGTGGGTTGGTTGCCTGTGTCACGGTTAGGAATGTCAGAAGGGATGATGAACAACAAAACTGAAATGAAGATGGCAACTGTAGCATCAGTGACATAGCTGCAACAGATCGATCAGAAATTTAGTCTAGCCATGTTTTTATTCTCATGAAATCTACCCTACTTAATTTTTATTCAAAGTGAGGAGAAAAAATGGTGATACCTTGTATTGTTTTTGTTGAAAAAAACTGTTGCCCAACCTGGAATGAAACCAGGGTCTCTTGTAAACCAGAGAAGTACCAGTAGTACGAAGAGGATCAAAACTGCTATTTCTGCAAATTTCATTGAGCCCAATTTCTTGCACTCTTCCTTGATAATTTCATAGGCCCGTTGCTCCTTAGCCTTGGCAGAGGCATTTGCAGTGCAACCAAAATTTTTGCGAAAACTGGAAGAAAATGCACAGGAAATATCAGAGAAATTTGTCAGGTATCCTCAGAGTTAAGAATCCAAATTTTAGACTCAGTCATACTGTCTCTTAGATATATGTATTTATATACGCATATAGAAATCATGTGTATTATTATCATAGCATCAGCAGCCATAGGTGTCACTGCCTTGTGCTGTGTATTGCCAAGATGATCAGAGAGAAGCTTCCTGCCCCTAAAAGTTCATGATCTAAATATGAACAGGTGTGCTGTCTGGACACACTGGGAAATAATGACAATGTTAGTGTGACTGACACGGCTAAAGTAAACAGTTGCCAAGCTTTTTAAAATGACAGAAAAGGAGAACTTTAAAAGAGGAATTTGAAGA